GTTGACCAGGCTGGTCTCAAACTCCCGACCTCAGATGATCCACCTGCCCCAGCCTCCCAAAATGCTGTGAGCCACAGTGCCCAGCCGCTAGCCACATTTTAAGTGTTCAGGAGCCACATGTGGATGTGGTTAGTCCAAAGACAGCACAGATTTAGAATATTTCCATCATTGTAGAAGTTTCCATTGGACACTGCTGAGTTAAAGGGTTTTTCAACAAGTGGGGGAGTGCAATGGTGTGGCCGTAAGGCAGTGTGGGGTGATGGGGACTGTGGTAGGTGGGGAAGCTTGTGTTCCATCTGAAGGGGCGGCTGAGGCTTGACTGTAGGCTGTGTTGCTGGTCTTCTAATTCTTCAAGTGAAGCAGGAATTGGGATTTTGTGAAGATTCACAATTTCTAAACAAAAAGTTGAAATTTTACGGATTGTAGGACTCAAGTATAACTCTTCTCTTGGGCTGTATCCAGCCTTTCTTCTGTAATTCATGGCTCCTGCCTGTTTTTCCTAGGCCAGGTCACTCCCTTCTTCCCTTGCATTTCTCACCTGGGGTGGGAGGCTGGGCAGATGGTGGAACTGATGAAAAGCCACTTTTTTTGTGACAGTCTCGCTCTGCCTCCCATAATGCTGGGATTATAGGGATGTGGCACTGCACCTGGCCAGATATTTTTGAGGCCACAACCAGACAAAAGAGCCTCCTCATCAGCTGGGTGCAGTGGCTCACACCTGTAATCCCAGTACTTTGGTAGGCAGAGGTGAGCAGGCCAGGAGTTCGAGACGAGCCTGGGCAACATAATGAGACCTCATCTCTACAAAAAAAAAAAAAGACATGGTGGCGTGCACCTGTAGTCTTAGCTATTCAGGAGGCTGAGGCTAGAGGATTGCTTGAGGCCAGGAGTTTGTGGCTTTTGTGAGCTATGATTGTACCACTGCACTCTAGCCTGAGCAACAGAATGAGACCCTGTCTCAAAAAATAGAGAAGCCTGACATGAGTCTCTTAAGGATGAGGCTCTGGAGCACCTAGTAAATGGTTCCATTTGTGTGACTCAAAGGGACATGTCCAAAGTCCGAGGGGTGCTGGGGGCAGGGATGGGGCTTAGGTAGGGTGTGTGGCACTCCACTCAGGATTCAGAAGCAGATGGATGGGATGGGTGAAATATGATCATTATCCCCCTTCTCCTTCCTCTCCACCCCACCCTTGCTCACAACTGCGGGAGCTGAGGGTGAGAGAACTGGGGGTGAAGGGGTGAGAGCGATTTGCAGTGTTTCTAATGCAGTTGGTCCTGTGGAAGCCTCAGTTCCATCTGGGATCCCTTTCACGAGCGGTGGGCCAGGTCTTCATATTCATCCCAGGATTACTGAGAGTGTAGGAACAGGGGCGGGGGTGTAGACACAGCTCATGCAAACATTTCCTTGTGTCTGTTATGGCTGAATCCTAGGCACTGCACTACCTGAGGCATACAGATATTCTTTGGCTATGGGCTGATGTTTGAATACAGCCAGGGCCTCAGGATTCTCAAAGCCTGCCCCTGCCCCCAGAGGAGCCAGACAGCTCCTCAGAGCCACTGCCTGTTAAGTGCTGGACAAGGCCACGTCACTGCCTCCATGGCTCCCCACTCTCCCAGCTTGCTGTATTTCTCCACCTTAGGGACTGGGAGTGCCTTGATCTGAAGCCCTTTGCAGTGCTGGTAGCAGTGTAGGTGAAGTGGTTGATGGGAGTGAGGGAACGGAATGGGCAAGGAAGCCTGAGCCTCTGTGGCTCACTGCATCAAGCAGTTCTTGGCAAAGGTATGGTCAGGATAGGCTGTGTCATCTTGGGTGGAGTGAAGACGGGGAACATGCGGATATGGACAGGAAAGGGTGCGGTGGCCTGGCTGGAGGAGGTGAGGCCGTATCCCACCAAGGGCCTCTCTCCAGACTCATGCCTGCCCCAGCCCAGGCTCCCCAGGCTCATCCTGTGTCCTCTCCCTTACCTGCCAGTCATCTTCTGGTGAGCTCTGGGCTTAGGAGTCACCATGGCAACTGAAGAGTTCATCAGCCGCATCCCCCCATACCACTACATCCACGTGCTGGACCAGAACAGCAACGTGTCCCATGTGGAGGTTGGGCCAAAGACCTACATCCGGCAGGACAACGAGAGGTAGGTGTTGGGGAGACTCAGGGCTGTGGGGGCCCATGGGTCTGGCTGGCGTGATCATCCTTTTCCTCCTCCCTGTTCCCAAGCAGGAGTGGCCCTCGCTTGGGTGATAGGTTTCTCTCATTTGGTGTCTCCTGTGGTAGTGGAGACCTGGTCCCAAGTCCTCAGGCCTCACACCTCTTCTCATCTTCCTGCAGGGTGCTGTTTGCCCCCATGCGCATGGTGACCGTCCCCCCACGCCACTACTGCACAGTGGCCAACCCTGTGTCGCGGGATGCCCAGGGCTCGGTGCTGTTTGATGTCACAGGGCAAGTTCGGCTTCGCCATGCTGACCTCGAGATCAGGCAGGCCCAGGACCCTTTCCCTCTGTACCCAGGGGAGGTGCTGGAAAAGGACATCACGCCCCTGCAGGTGGTTCTGCCCAACACTGCCTTCCATCTGAAGGCACTACTCGATTTTGAGGATAAAGATGGAGACAAAGTGGTGGCCGGAGATGAGTGGCTCTTCAAGGGACCTGGCACGTACATCCCCCGGAAGGAAGTGGAGGTCGTGGAGATCATTCAGGCCACCATCATCAGGCAGAACCAGGCTCTGCCGCTGAGGGCCCGCAAAGAGTGCTGGGACCGGGACGGCAAGGAAAGGGTGACAGGGGAAGAATGGCTGGTCACCACAGTGGGGGCGTACCTCCCAGCGGTGTTTGAGGAAGTCTTGGATTTGGTGGATGCCGTGATCCTTACGGAAAAGACAGCCCTGCACCTCCGGGCTCGGCGGAACTTCCAGGACTTCAGGGGGGTGTCCCCCCGCACTGGGGAGGAGTGGCTGGTGACCGTGCAGGACACGGAGGCCCACGTGCCAGATGTCCACGAGGAGGTGCTGGGGGCTGTGCCCATCACCACCCTGGGCCCCCGCAACTACTGTGTGATTCTTGACCCCGTCGGACAGGATGGCAAGAATCAGCTGGGGCAGAAGCGCGTGGTCAAGGGAGAGAAGTCTTTTTTCCTCCAGCCAGGAGAGCAGCTGGAACAAGGCATCCAGGATGTGTACGTGCTGTCGGAGCAGGAGGGGCTGCTGCTGAGGGCCCTGCAGCCCCTGGAAGAGGGGGAGGATGTGGAGAAGGTCTCACGCCAGGCTGGGGACCGCTGGCTCATCCGCGGACCCCTGGAGTACGTGCCGTCTGCCAAGGTGGAGGTGGTGGAGGAGCGCCAGGCCATCCCTCTAGATGAGAACGAGGGCATCTATGTGCAGGATGTCAAGACCGGAAAGGTGCGCGCCGTGATCGGAAGCACCTACATGCTGACGGACGAAGTCCTGTGGGAGAAGGAGCTGCCTCCCGGGGTGGAGGAGCTGCTCAACAAGGGGCAGGACCCTCTGGAGGACAGGGGTGACAAGGGCACAGCTAAGAGCCTCCAGCCCTCTGCGCCCCGGAACAAGACCCGCGTGGTCAGCTACCGCGTACCCCACAATGCTGCCGTGCAGGTGTATGACTACCGAGCGAAGCGAACCCGTGTGGTCTTTGGGCCTGAGCTGGTGTCGCTGGGTCCTGAGGAGCAGTTCACAGTGCTGTCCCTCTCGGCCGGGCGGCCCAAGCGTCCTCACACCCGCCGTGCGCTCTGCCTGCTGCTGGGGCCTGACTTCTTCACAGACGTCATTACCATTGAAACAGTGGATCATGCCAGGCTGCAATTGCAGCTGGCCTACAACTGGCACTTCGAGGTGAATGACCAGAAGGACCCCCAAGAGACAGCCAAGCTCTTCTCAGTGCCAGACTTTGTAGGTGACGCCTGCAAGGCCATCGCATCCCGGGTGCGGGGGGCTGTGGCGTCTGTCACTTTCGATGACTTCCATAAGAACTCAGCCCGCATCATTCGCACTGCTGTCTTTGGCTTTGAGACCTCGGAAGCCAAGGGCCCCGATGGCACAGCCCTGCCTAGGCCCCGGGATCAGGCTGTCTTCCCCCAAAATGGGCTGGTGGTCAGCAGCCTGGATGTGCAGTCAGTGGAGCCCGTGGATCAGAGAACCCGGGACGCCCTGCAACGCAGCGTCCAGCTGGCCATTGAGATCACCACCAACTCCCAGGAAGCGGCAGCCAAGCAAGGGCTCAGAGACTGGAGCAGGAAGCCCGCGGCCAGCTTGAGCGGCAGAAGATCCTGGACCAGTCAGAAGCTGAGAAAGCGCGCAAGGAACTCTTGGAGCTGGAGGCTCTGAGCATGGCTGTGGAGAGCACCGGGAATGCCAAGGCGGAGGCCGAGTCCCGTGCAGAGGCAGCCTGGATTGAGGGAGAAGGGTCCGTGCTGCAGGCCAAGCTGAAAGCAGAGGCCTTGGCCATCGAGACGGAGGCTGAGCTCCAGCGGGTGCGGAAGGTCCGAGAGCTGGAACTGGTTTATGCCCGGGCCCAGCTGGAGCTGGAGGTGAGCAAGGCTCAGCAGTTGGCTGAGGTGGAGGTGAAGAAGTTCAAGCAGATGACAGAGGCCCTGGGCCCCAGCACCATCAGGGACCTTGCTGTGGCTGGGCCTGAGATGCAGGTCAAACTGCTCCAGTCCCTGGGCCTGAAATCAACCCTCGTCACTGACGGTTCCACTCCCATCAACCTCTTCAACACAGCGTTTGGGCTGCTGGGGATGGGGCCCTAGGGTCAGCCCCTGGGCAGAAGGGTGGTCAGTGGGCCCAGCCCCGGGGAGGGGATATCCCTTCAGTCTGCTCAGATCCCCAAAGCTCCTGCGGACAACCACGTGGTGCCTGTACTGCACCCCTGACCAATAAAATGGACGTTTTGGGGCATTTAAGATTAAAAAAAGAAAAAAAAGAAAAAAGTGCAGCTCCATCAGCTGATCCTCGCTAAGCTCCGACTCTAGGCGGCACTGGGCGTCTCCGATGCCGAAGAACAAGAAGCAGAACGCTCCCCACCGCGGTGGCAGTGCTGGTGGCGGCGGCGGCGGCAGGTGGCCAGCATCGAAATGTTCAACCTTTTAGTGATGAAGATGCATCACTTGAAACAATGCGCCATTGCAGTGGTTATAGCGATCCTTCCAGTTTTGCTGAAGATGGACCAGAAGTCCTTGATGAGGAAGGAACTCAAGAAGACCTAGAATATAAATTGAAGGAATTAATTGACCTAACCCTGGATAAGAATGCAAAGACAAGGCAAGCAGCTCTTGAAGGTATTAAAAATGCACGAAATCGTTCTACTATAAGGACACATGTTCATTGCAGCACTGTTTACAATGGCAAAGACCTGGAACCAACCCAAATGCCCATTGATGATAGACTGGACAGGGAAAATGTGGCACATATACACCATGGAATATTATGCAGCCATCAAAAACGATGAGTTCGTGTCCTTCCAAGGGACATGGATGAACCTGGAAACCATCATTCTCAGCAAACTGACACAAGAGCAGAAAATCAAACACCGCATGTTCTCACTCATAGGCGGGTGTTGAACAATGAGAACACATGGACACAGGGAGGGGAGCATCACACACTGGGGTCTATGGGGGGAAACAGGGGAGGGACAGCAGGGTGTGGGGAGTTGGGGAGAGACAGCATGGGGGGAAATGCCAGATATAGGTGATGGGGAGGAAGGCAGCACATTACACTGCCACGTGTGTACCTATGCAGCAATCGTGCATGTCCTTCACATGTACCCCAAAACCTAAAATGCACTTAAAAAAAAGATTTTTAAAAAGTAATATGCCATTCAGGGATAGAAAAGATATGTTAAAACAAAGGCCTTCCCACACTGCCGGTGAAGGTGCAATGTGGTAGAACATTTCTGTAAAGCAGTTTGGTAACATGTAACAGGAACTTAGAAAACATTTTTATTTAAATGAATGATTCTACTTTTTGGAATTTACCCTTGAGATAATTAAAATTTAATTAAGAATGTAAAAAAAAATGCGCTGGCTTCAAAAATGCTGTATGAAGTTATTCTGGAAAGAAGAATGACTTTGACAGTATTGAACACTGCCTGAAAAAGGGTAAGAGTGATGAGCAACGTGCAGCCGCAGCATGAGCATCTGTTCTCTGTACTCAGCTGGGCCCTGGAATTGAAAGTGGAGCGACTTTGAAAACTCTTGGACCAATCCTAAAGAAAATCATTGGCAATGGGGCAGCCAGTATCCAGGTTAGGCAAACTTGTGCAACTTGCTTTGGTGTTTGCAGTTTTATTGCCGCAGATGACATTACTGAACCATACTCAACTCTGGAATGTTTGGAAAATATCTTCACTAAGTCCTACCTCAAAGAGAAAGACACTACTGTTATTTACAGCGCCCCTAATTCAGTGCTTCCTATCAGCTCGCTTCTTGCATGGACACTGCTGCTGACCATATGCCCAATCAACGAAGTGAAGAAAAACCTTGAGATGCATTTCCAAAAGCTTCCAAGCCTCCTCTCATGTGATGATGTACACCTGAGAACAGCTGCTACTGAATCTTTGGCACTTCTGTTTGAATTGGCCAGAGGAATAGAAAGTGACGTTTTCTATGAAGACATGGAGTCTTTGACGCAAATGCTTAGGGCCTTGGCAACAGATGGAAATAAGCACCAGGCCAAAGTGGACCAGGGAAAGCAGCGGTCAGTTTTCAGAGATGTCCTGAGGGCAGTGGAGGAACGGGATTTTCCAACAGAAACCGTTAAATTTGGTCCTGAACGTATATATATTGATTGCTGGGTAAAAAAAAAAAACCACACACACACACCTATGACACCTTTAAGGAGGTTCTTGGATCAGGGAGGCAGTACCACTTGCAGTCAAATGAATTCCTTCCAAATGTGTTTGAACTTGGAACCCCAGTGGTGCTTGATGCTGCAACACTTAAAACGATGAAGATTTCTCATTTTGAAAGGCATTTATGTAACTCTGCAGCCTTCAAAGCTCGAACCAAAGCTAGAAGCAAATGTCAAGATAAGAGAGCAGATGTTGGAGAATTCTTCTAGATTTTCAGAACTTGAAGACTATTTTTAATTTCTATTTTTTTTCTATTTCAATGTCTTTAAACTCTAAAGACACTTTTTATCTTGGATTAAGTTAGATAACTTTTGTAGTAAGGGTTACATTGCTTGTAATTTAATGTACAGTGTTGAAACTGGTGAGTTCTGATTATTATTCTCTGTAAATCAGTAAACATGTATAAAGTGTTTGTAAAGTCTGGTCATATTTTATTTATGAAGACAGCAAAGAAACTTTGATTTCATGATGGGAAAAACTATTAGCCAAAGTTTAATTTCTTACACTCTGGTTGTCAAAAATACTGATTTACTATAATGATATATACAGATAAGATATTTAACTTACTATCTTAGACAAGAGTTCTAGGTACAATTTTGGGATCTAATTCCTCTCGAAACGCTGCTGTATTTTTAATTTTGAATCGAATGTAGCTTTTAAAATTTTGTCACTGGCATCAACAAAAGGAATTACACCATGAGACCTTACAGCCGTCCTTAAAAGCCACTCAGTTGAACTATTGGGGGTTCATGATGAGTTAGCATACGCCAGAAAGGTTGCTAACTTTGACCTCTGAGAGCGGTAACACTGATTTTATCTGCTGTATGTGACTGTGCATTTTACTTTGAAATAAAGTTTTTTTCACATGAAAAAAATATATACATATATATGTATATACACACACACAATTTAAAAATTAGGACTCTCCAGATCTATTCAGTGTTTAAAATTACATTTTCTGTCCCACAAGTTATCAGAAAACTACCAGAATAAAATAATACATCTAAGAGCAAATGTCTGAGTCGTGTAAGGGCAACGTAATTAGTTTCCTCCCTTTTCTCTGAATAGTATTTCTGTTCTTTTTCCTGGTAATTGGAGGTAAAATTAACGGGGAATTTGGAGGAGATTGTGAAAATTTTGGATAGTCCACCAAAGGGTCAAGATCCACTGCTCAGACCTGCACTTCAGCTCAAATCATGTTAGTTGCTGTCATAAGGACAATGAAATTACCTAAAATTTTGTTTTGTGGGCTCTAGCTAATTATGTGTCCTGTTGTGAAATCATGTCTGACACAACCACCACCTTCATTTTATGATGATGTTGATAACTGTCTCACTAATCGCTCATCCTTTCCTACTCTCTCTTTCTACCTCAAGAATACAAAGTCGCCGGGCGCGGTGGCTCACGCCTGTAATCCCAGCACTGTGGGAGGCCGAGGCGGGTGGATCACGAGGTCAAGAGATCGAGACCATTCTGGCCAACATGGTGAAACCCCGTCTCCCTAAAATACAAAAATTAGCTGGGCATGGTGGTGCGGGCCTGTAATCCCAGCTACTCGGGAGGCTGAGGCAGGAGAATTGCTTGAACCCAGGAGGTGGAGGTTACATTGAGCCGAAATCACACCACTGCACTCCAGCCCAGCGCCTGGCGACAGTGTGAGACTCTGTCTCAAAAAAAAAAGAATACAAAGTCTGTACCTATATTTACCTGAGGCAACTGGGAAGCCACCATTCTATTTTCTCTGGTTTTGAAGCAAACCAATGTGATATCCTTTTGAGAACTATGATACCAAAATGACTGATAAGTGGTAGAAAATGAATTGAAACGTGCTCCTCTCTTGTATGAATAATGGGAATGAGTTATAATTTTCAAAATATTCCATAAATTGAATGTTTAAAACCAGACAGTGACCACTGAATGGCAGTTTACTTAAATCCAGCTGGGCTAAAGTAATATCTTCCAGACATTGGAACTGCATGGGAAGCAGTGCCCAACAAACTGTCCTCCCGCTGTAGATATGAGGAAGTAAACAAGCAAAACCTTACGTACATACTTTACCTACAGAAGGATCGAAATAAAATCAGCACTACATTTACTAAGAAGTAATAGGTAAGAGGAGGACTGCCAACGTGAAGGACGAGCAACACCTGAAGAAAGGAAGGAGGCAGAAAAATCTTTAGGTGTTTTGTCGTCCTCAATAGGTTTGTAAATGTAACCTTTATGAGACATGAACAAACACACACGGGAAGACAGCAGGATAATATAATAGTAAGAGTTGGAATGGGAGCTTGGTGAAGTTGAAAAGTCTTGCGGAACATTAAAAATGTAATAGTATAATTAAAATCCATATTAGAAGGCCGGGCGCGGTGGCTCAAGCCTGTAATCCCAGCACTTTGGGAGGCCGAGGCGGGTGGATCACGAGGTCAAGAGATCGAGACCATCCTGGTCAACATGGTGAAACCCCGTCTCTACTAAAAATACAAAACATTAGCTGGGCATGGTGGTGCGTGCCTGTAATCCCAGCTACTCAGGAGGCTGAGGCAGGAGAATTGCCTGAACCCAGGAGGCGGAGGTTGCGGTGAGCCGAGATCGCGCCATTGCACTCCAGCCTGGGTAGCATGAGTGAAACTCCGTCTCAAAAATAAAAAATAAAAAATAAAATAAAAAATAAAAAAATAAAATCCATATTAGAGCAAGTAAAGATAATTGACAGTACAGAAAAATAAATTTATCAAAGGAAGATAAAATTGAGGAACTCTGCGAGACTATTGAGGAGTAAGACAAAAATAATCAACAGGGACAGATATGAATAACACAACCTAAGGAACAGAGCTCTCTCCTAAATATGAATCACAGTAAATGGGATAAAACAGATAAGAATTTGATTGAAATAACAAAGTTTTCTAAATGGATAAAGGTAAATTAAACGTGTAAATTTAAACGGATCATTGTATTTTGGGAAATAAATAATGAAAAGAGACTCACTCATATTATCTGGCAACATATTAAGTACACAAGAAAGAATCTGAGGAAAAAATCATGAATTTTAAAAAGAGATAAACAATAATGTAAAGGAACAACAGGTGGCAATGAACATAGAGTAATGGATTATTGTAAGAAAATGTTTATGGCCCAAGAGTTCTCAACCAACCCACCTGTCATGTGTGAAGATGGTAGGACATTTTAGATTTATAAAGTTTTAGAAAATGTGCACCTGCACACAGTGTCCAAAATTACTTCAGAAAGACAAAACATAAGTGACTAAGAAAAATAGGGGAAAGCAGAACAGGGAGGAAAGCAAGGGAGGAGAGAAGAAAATGTGTGTCAGCAGGACATACCAGGCAAGTCCTTTCGGAATCAGCAAAACGCGTGAGAGGAAATGCTGAGTTTATTATTTAGGAGAATCTGAGGTTGCATTTTTTACCTCTTGCCCTGCTCTTCTTCCTTCCCCAGTCCTCCTTCCCTGGCTACTGTCTCTAGGGCTAGCAAGTGAAGGAGAAAGTAAGCATGAAGAGGAAGTAAATTTAGAAGGAATGAGGAAATGTATTGAATGTGAGGCCTATGACCTTTTCCTAAACAGTACAAGGAAGAACAAGAAATTCTGAAATATAGCAATGAAAATGAGGATTTTAGTGTGTCCAGGAAAGTACATATGATTCAGAAGACTACGACTCTGGGTTAAAGGACCATTAATTTTCTGTGTCAGTTTTTCCCCTTGTGACCATGATGTGTAATATTTGTTTGACCTTACTTGAATCTTAGTGATCCTTATACGGACATGGAGGATAAAAAGGGAATGGTAGCTACAGTTGT